GGGCTAAAGGGTACCCCGATATCTTGCCAGCTTTGGCCGGACCCGAGTTTTCTTAAACAAAATATGAACATAATGTCTTATTTTCTGTTGCTGTTGTTACTTACAGATGGTGACATTCAAAGCAGAAAGGAAGACCGTGGTTCGTAAACAAAAAGAAATACATGTAGTGTATCTTCTTGTGATCTTGAAAGTAAAGTTGATAATGATTTGCTGACTTAGCGTTTGAAAATCGTCGCAGGCCATAGCATTTAATATATAGAGGCGAAGTGGGAAGATGATCAAAGAAAGTATTTAGCTTGAAATATCAGCCAAATTCAAGAACGGAAAGAAGTTATGAAGGGTAAAACTAATGGTGCGAGGTTGATCAGACACATTAAACTGCTTCAAGTTAGAAAAGATGTTGCTTTGCGAGGTTTGACAATGGAGTATAAATATTATGAAACCAACATAATAACGACGTCTCTTTTGGCTTGACAACGAAGATCGCTTTGGTTTCTATGATCGGAGCAGAATGAATGAAACCCCAACGTAACACAAGGTTTTAATTGGAATCAAGCTGACATATATTTATGTTTCTCTTGTTTTTATTTTTCTTCTTCTTTTTTTAAAATTATGTCTTTATTTACAATGAGCTTTTTATAGCCACAAAAGTTGTTCCTGAACACTCAGCTAATTTATTCGTAGACGCATACAATCGTTTCAAGTTTTTATAGGTTCTATGGACCCTGCCGCGACCTCAATATCGAGTCACGTGACAAAGCAGCCATTATCATGATAAAGAATGCTACCATTACTGTTTACGGATTTGTATGAGAATTTTCCTTCTCTGAATACTGTTATTTCAGAAACAAACGCTGTTCAGTCACTCCTTTCGTATCAAGTCTGTTAAGATGTATGTGGTGTCTTAGACAGGAAGAGAAATAGGTGAGTATTGTCTGCAAGATAGAGCAACATGGCCGCCTGTTTTTTTTTCTCATGGCGAGCTGGCCTTGGAGTAAGAAGAGTAGACACTTCTTATAAATAAGTGTGCTCTTATCAACCACAGTTCACACTTAGAATGTATTCGAATGGTACTGAAGTTTATAGGTGAAGCACTTTTTATTTCAAGTCATAGGGCGTTTGGCGAAAAAAGATTAGATCTAGGTTGTTTGGAAGAGGGGGGCAATAGTGTCTATCCTGTTGTTTGACTCAGAGAGGCAGCAAAGGTTAGTCACAAATCGAAGGATGTGCTGCTGCTTCTGGGTGCTAGGCCCACTTCAACTGAAGTTAATTATAATGATTCCTGACCCAGTTTTCACCCCTTTTGTCAAACTTAAATTCATTGCTTTTAGCAGCGTGTGTATGTGTAGATAAGCTTCTTTCAGTTGACAACTTCAAAGCCTGAGGCAATGAATGTCAGTGAGGCACATGGTCGACCCAGCAGTTCAAGAAACACAGTGACTGAAACCTTTTATTTTGAACCAAGTTTAAAACAGTTCAGTTTCATTTTCACTGATATTGAAGACTCTTAGTAATAGATCAGCTCCGTTAAACTTGAATGTCACAGGCTGTTACCTGAAAAATGAATATGATTTTCTTTTGTGTCATGTAGGCAAGGCAGTGTTCTAGATCTTAGTCTTAGCAGTTTCGTTTTTGCTTTTAGTGAGAGAAGGGGGGGGGGGACTTTGCAAAGGGTAGGCTGAGCATCTGGAATAATGAATCATATAGGGCTCAATTTCGGAATTACTAATTTTTTTATTATAGCCCAGGGTAAGCCTACTCATAGATCAGAAAGGACATTAATTACTTGTTTGTCAGAGCTCACCAATAAACATATTTCAACTTCAAAAGTGCACTTACAGTTTATTATATTTTCTTTAAATATATTATGCCTCTATGTAATCCTGGCTATCAAACTTTTTGAGCAGTCACAGAATGGAATTACTCTAAACTCTATAATATATTTATCCAATCCATTTATAATTATTGATGTGCAATAAAAAAAAAAAATAAAATGAACAATATTTTTTGTGTGAGAATGTATAGTATAGAAAGAGAGGTTTTACAAATTCTTTTTTCCACCTGTTTTGTAGTTTGTTCATCAATGTCTGTAAGCTTTTATTTATTTCGGATTGGTGTTGTGTGCATATATTGCTTTTCTTTTTGTCATTTCCGCCTGCTCTTGTTCTTTCAGCGATGAACCACCATTACCCTGATAACTATCATGGGTATTCTCGTGGTGGCCCGGGTGTCCAGGGAATGAGCTATGGGGCACCCTTTGGCGATCCAACAGCTATGGTATGTATACCTTTTTTCTCTATATTGCTTTGGGGGGGGGAGGGTGGAGGCGTTGGTTGTTAGTTTTTTGGGGGGGGTTTTTGTGTGTGTGGTTTTTTTTTCCCCTCAATCATTAAAATGAGGCAAGAACACAGTTAGGTCATCATCGTTGCCTTTCTCACCCTGTATCGGGATAAAGTCAACTAACAAATACTTTCCACCTTTCCTTATCCTGGGCTAGGCGCTTGATGTCATTCCCTGTCTTCCCTCTTTTCTGTACATCCATTTCTTTGACTCTTCTTTAGGTTCCACGTCGTCTTCCCCTTGATCTTTTACCCTGTGGGTTCCAATCTAAGGAAGCTGTGGATATCTGTTAAAGCGTATAAATTGTAAATAAAAGATTTTCACAACTTGCGCGATTTTTTTCAAGGGATAAATGTTTATCTTTGTCACGAAGCATGTGGTGTGGAGGCTTATTTGGCTATGGACGAAATCTTCTCGTTTGTTTTTGTTTTTTCAAATATGATTGAAATTGTCCAAGAAGCCATCTATTGTTGAGGAAAAAAGGTGGACGTCTTAGACAGGTGGTCGTCTTGGAGAGTGACTGTATAATATTGGGGGGGGGGGTGGAATACAAGGGAAGAAGTAAGGAGTGGTCTTCTGTTCAGTAGCGGATTGCCTTGTACTAGTGGCCCTTTAGAGCTGGTTCGACTGTGTATTTATACATGATTCATTTTTCACGTGACTTACAAGTTGACCGAGTATTGACTTACTGTCATAAATGTTGTTCTTTTTTCCTTCACCCGTGACTGGTACACGCTTCATTGTTGCATGTGGGACATATGAGTTTGATTCTCGTGTAGGGTGAAGTATTTATCGAGCATACCCATCTTCCTGCTAGGATGTTGTATCCATTTCTGTTTGGGCTTGTAAATGGAAGCAGCCCTTCTCCTAATGGTCGCTTGTAAGCACAAAGGGGCTGTCCCGAAAAATGCTCTTTTGAGAAAATTGAAGGTGAAGTTTTTGGACCCTTATTCGGTTTCTTTAAAAGACAAGGAGAGGTTTCTCTTTAACCAAACAAATATACGCACCAATGAAACCAAACTTCTCCTATAGGTAGGACAATGCCCACTTTTGGTGTAGGTCGAGATTTCTGAAAACTTCCGAAATCTGGGTTAGCCCGCTTGTCCTTAAAAGCGACCAAATGATCTGAATAGTACGAGTAGGGGCCTAAAAAACTTTTACAATTTTTTTACCTTCTAGGCACGGATGGGCCACCCCAGGGAGAACTACCAGATGCCTGGCTACCGAGACCCGCGTCACATGAACCCCATGATGGACCAGCAGAGCATGATGTACAGCCAGGGGAACTTCATGCCTCAGCAGGGCGGTAACCCCTACCCTATGGGAGACTACGCCAGCTACGGGATGCACCGCATGAACCCTGCCATGATGGCTGCGCACCAGCAGAGGGAGATGGGCGGTCCCTACTACGGTTCTGCCATGCCTGAAATGTCTCACGCGTCCTCTCAGCACTCGACCATGATGAGCCAGGCGTCAGCGTACAGTCACAGTCAGCAGAGCAGTCTCCACATGCAGCAGCAGCAGCAACAACAACAGCAACAGCAGCAGGCTCAGCCGCCCGCCCCACAACAACAGCAGCCGCCGCAGCACATGATGGCTAGACACGGTCACCCGGGCCTGGCGGGTCAAGGTCAGATGGCGGCGGTGTCGAGCCAGGTCCCCGGCCAGCAGCCTGTGCGGAGCCAGAGCGGCCAGTCGTCTCAGAGCCCGTGCCACCCGCTGCCCCAGGCCAGCCCGCACCCTGCGCCCCCCGCCGCGACTTACGCTGCCCACGGCTCCCCTCAGATGATGAGCGGTGGTCACCATGTGCCCCAGCACCCCATGAGGCACCCGACCACCCAGCAGAACCCTCAGGAAGTGGCCGACAACATTCTGCAGATGGCGTCCTCGTATCCCTCGAACCACACGGTGAGTCAGCCCCTGTGATCATCATTTGGTTGTACTGTGTCCTCAAGTTTTTGTATTACATGTTTCTGTGAATACAATTTTTCTGTGATCATCATTTGTTTGTGTCCTGAAGTTCTACTTAAGTTTTTTTATTTGCTTCTGTGAGTACAATTTTTCTGTGAGATTCATTGTTTTGTTTTTTAAGGCATGGTCTGCTTACATGAGAGCGTTTCTTCAGCAAGCTGTTGAGCTGTTTGAAGCCCAGACAGCAACGTTTTACCGAACATTCTCTTAAAAATTGTACTTACATTATGTATCATTCTTGCTTTTTTTTTTTTTTTTTTTTTCAACATTTAGAATTTAAATTTCAACAAAATATGTCTCTAGTACATGCGTCAAATACTACTGATTACGAAACTGAAGTTTTAAATATTTCAAAATGTTGGGCTAAGCACTTCTGAACAGTTCGTCAACGATCAGTCTTTGTGATTACAGCCTTTGTGCAAGTCTTTGTTTTTGTGGCACAGTCTACCTGCATTAGAATTAGAGCATTTGTCTGATGAGATGGCGTAGTACTGTGAGTTCTGTGTTCACTTTCCTTTCCTTGCGAAAGGTGCATTGTTGTTGGGGTTTTTGGGGGGTGAATTTATATTTATTTTATTTTGAATGAGAGATTATACCGTATACTCATACAGTGGCTTTTTTAAATGTTTTGGAATATCACTACTTGATGTGAAGGTCAGCTTAATAAGGACTTGAAATATATAGCTAGAATAAGATTTGCATGCTATACTGACCATTGATTTATTATTATCAGGAAAGTTTTTCTTGGAAATTGAGACGAGTTGTTGTTAAATTGCTTGGATTTGTTGTCAACACAGTGCTTTACATTCCTTTAGTCTTTAGTGGGAAGTGAGATATTTATAAGGGAACCGATGAAGAATATTTTGCATATGGATATATTTAGAGCTCTACGTGATGGAGTATATTATTAAATCTGAGTAAAGTACAAGATATGGGCTTGGATTCACGGCATGCTTTGTGTGGAGGTCTAGCTGATGCATACTGATTTAGTTTTCCGCTGTTTGGGATTACAATCTAGCAGGGGCTTAGCAAACAGCAGAATGCGAAAAAAATTTCATTTTGCTAATGTATTAATACTAAAAATATACATGTACAAAAAAAATTCTAGACCTAAAAATCTGTTCGCTATCATGTGTATTCTAGATTGTTAGTATGTATTTTAACAATTTAGTTGCCATTTTACTTATAAATACATTTTCTTCTTTGTACAGGTTCAAGTTCCCCTGAAGAGTCGTCCGGCCCCGTACCACATCCCCCGCTCACCTCACTACAGCGTCCCTCACTCAGAGCTCTCCCACCTGTCGCCCATCCCCTCGGCCCAGCAGCAGCAGAGCCCCGTGCAGACGTGCCACGCCAGCCCCAGCCCTTCTTCCTCTAGCGTCAAGTCCCCCACCCCCGTCCTCGCGCCGATTCCCAACCCGATCCCGTCGCCGGGCATCAGCGGGCTGAGGTCTCCGTGTAATCAAGGAGTCTCCCCGTGCGGCGCTCAGCGCTCGCCGGCTCACATGGGCTCATCGTACGGAGGTCACAGCCAGGGCTGTCCCCCGTCGCAGACTAATAGCGACGTTTGTTCCCCCCACCCTCACAACAGCTCTGCGGCCTCCTCTCCCCCTGAGGTCGTCGTTCCCCCCCAGCAGTTCCCCCCCGCCCACAGCTACTCGCCATATCCCTCCACGCCCACGCAGCGGAGCGCCATGTACTCCCCGCATGCCGACGGCTCGTTCAGTTTGTCGAAGTCGGAGCATCATATCAGCAGGTCGGGCTACAGCAGTCCCGTGACCTCTAGTCCTAGCACCAGCATCGGTGGTGTTGGGGGCGGCGGCGGCGGGCTTCACACCAATATGTCGAAGATGAAGACTGACAACAACGCTGCTGCCCATGGGTTCATGAATAATCCGCTCATGTCGTTAGAGAAACTGGTGATGCTTCCGGAGACGCAGGTGGTGGATCCGAAGAGTGTTGTGAACGACGCCTGCCTGACGGCTCAACAAAACGATCAAGATGAGGGTCCAAAAAACGTTGAAGACCCAGCAGAACGGCTTGCCGAGGGCTCGAGTCATTCTGTCGGGTGTCAGGAAAAAGTCAGCCCTCCCAGCATTAAGTCGGACGCTCAGGACGTTCCAGCTGTCCACGACGGTCTCGAGCAGCAGACGGCGACGGCCACAGACCAGGCTACTGGCCCTGTCCGCGGCGATGACCTCTCGGCTACCAACAGCTTTGACGAGGTCGCGAATCACGTCATGAAGGAAGTGGACCCGAACAAGGTGATAGATTCTGATTCCGTCTCAAACTCTGTGGCTCCAATTATACCCATGGAAAGTGTTTCCAATGAAAATGAGTCCGTAACACTTGAAAAACAGACTTTTTCAACTGAAAGTGAATCTGTTGCACCTGCAACTCTCACTGTTTCAAAGGAATCTGTTACCCTTGAGACGGCAACCGTTGTGAAGGAAAACTTAACCAACCAGAATAGTTATGATTTTGCTCAAGCTGTGCCGGAGGTGAAAGAGTCGGCACAGCAAAGTCAGCTTCCCTCTAACGGTGAACTTTCTTCCAACGTTACCAAACTAGATGAAGCTTCTACGCTGCAGGTCAAAGTGAAAGAAGAGTTTGTGGAATCTGACACTATTGCCAAGCAGCCGGAGGTGAAAGAGTCACAGAACAAAGATGTTGTGCAGTTTTCCTCCGATTCAGTGGAGGTGAGCGTGAAAATGGAGAAGCTGGTGGACGACGTTAAGTGTCCCGTGACGCACAGAAGAGCTCCGGGCGTGCTGTCGGAGGTGCCCATTCTCACAAACGGCGTGAGCGGTTCGACGTGCACGAACGAGGAGCCGGCCGAGCCAGATCTCAACAAAGAGGCTCACCACGCCCACGTGGCCAACGGGCTCAACTCTGTCGTGAGGACCAAAATTGGTTTGGCGAAGAGGGTGGCTCCGATCGCTCGGATGACTCCCTGTAGCATTGCCGTTGGGGCGAGCGAGCGGGCGGCTTGTGAGCGGTTTGCATTCCGGCGTAACGGTTTCTGCAGGACTCTGAGGACCTCTCGTATCATATGCAACGGGAGAAACCGCAGCGACAGCATCGGGAACGGTGATTCTGACGAAAGCTTGGAGAATCTATCCGAGAACAACATGATGTCAGGAATTCCTCAGGACGGGAATAGGAAAAGGTCGTCGGCCACTTCGAGAAAAAGCGACTCGAAAAAGTCGAGCATAGGCCCAGTAGCTTCCAGCCACAGGGTCGTGGAAAACGGATCGAAATCGTCGGAGACTGCCAGCAATAGCAACGGCATGGTGTCGTACAGCAATAACGAGGTCAGCGACGACGAAATGAGCTATTACGAGGGCGTGGACAACACTGACATTTTTGTGAATAATTTCAGTAGTGATGAATCTCTCAACTCTAGCGGGGAAGTCAAGCTTTTGCCGCCGGTGGGCTTTCTTCCTGCTTCGGGTATGAAGTCGGATGTGACTGCCGAACAAGAGACCGCAGCCGGAAAGCAAAGTCAGGATGGCGTTTTGTCGGAGGTGATACAAGACAAGGAAATGTCTGCTGCTCCAGAACAATTGTCTCCCCCGTCCAAACGGTTGAGGAGGTCAAACGGTCAGTATCATAGAATAAACCAGAAGAACTTGGCTTTTGAAAAGTCTAACAGTGACAGTTCAAAATCCGGAAAGGTAGATCCTGTGAAGGAGAACGCGAGTGAGTCGGAAAAGAAAGGTGAGAAACTGACCGCTGTCCAGAAAGAGGGTGAGATGACAGCACAGCCGGACAGCAGGGCCCTCGGGTCGGAAGTGAAAACCGACGTCGTAAAACCATCGGCTCTCGCCTCGAGGGCCAAAGTTAAGTACCCCGTTGTGGTCCTGGAGAAGTCCAAAGTGATGACTGAGCACGTTCCGATCAAAACCCGCAGTTCCAACAACTTTTCCCACGAGAGCGGAGCAGTAGCGGCGTCTGCTGGAGCCTCCGAGTCAAGTGGTTCGGGTTCAAACCTTGTGGAGCCGAAGCTCGAGCCCTGCGCTGGTGATCCCCCGCACACCGATAGTGAGAAGCCAGTGAAGAAAGACCCTGAAGAAAACGACGAAGTAAAGGATGGTGTGTTAGGCAGTGGTATACCTTCCTCAAATAATGTTGGCTCATGCCAAGCGGTCACAGAGGCATCGCCTAAGGCAGGTGCGAAGAGAAAAAGTGTGCAGGGCAGGAATGTGAAGAGGAAGAAAAAAACCGTTGTCAAGCCAGACAGGAAGTCGGAAGTGGCGGATTCTTTCAAGTCCATGAAATTCAGCCGGACGTTGAACATGATGAAATCTCAGAAGAAGCGCGAGGCTGGTCCTTGCGGCCCCTTCGTAAGGATAGAAGGTGTGAGGAGCATGCCCGATGCTGTGACTGTCTTCCAGCAGTCCGTCATCGATTCCTCGGCCTTGTCGGGCAAACAACACGGCGGTGTGGCCAAGAAAAAACAATCCCAGAACACGCACGCCGCGACAGTGGTCCACTTTGTCACGAACCTTCCCTCCGAGAAAAGTGCCATGGCCCCGTCGACGAGAACGATGGAGGGCAACGTCTGGGCGTGCGTCTTCTGCGGCCACCACAGCAGCTACAGGTCTATGGGGGATTTGTTCGGACCCTACTACCGAGAGACCGACTTGTCGAGGGTCGAGAACTTTGCCTCAGAAGACAGCAAACAGAACGATCATCTCAAAGATAAAAAGCAGGGAGAGTCTGGCGTCGCTGCTTCCGCGTTGTCCTCCAAGCGACAAAAAGAAGCGGCCGGCCCCAGTTCTCGCAAACACAGATCAGGGGTTAAGGCGACGAAGGCTGCCCCTCCCCCTCCCCCTCCCGAGGAGATCTGGGTTCACGAGTCTTGTGCCATGTGGTCGCCGGGCGTGTACCTGGTGGCTGGGAAACTCTACGGTCTCGATGATGCCATCAGGGACGCAGAAGACACGGTTAGTGAAGGAGGGGGTGAGGGGGATGAATTAACTTTGTGTGTGAGTTAAGGAGGGGGTGAGGGTGAGGACTTTACTTTGTGTGTGAGTGAAGGAGGGGGTGAGGGGGATGACTTAACTTTG